GTGCCTTTGTCCTGCCACCCGGCATCCGAAAGCAATTATCGGAATACCAGTGTTGCTGGAGGATGCCTCATGACGGGCGCCGTGCTGCTATAGCAGTGTCCTGGAGGGGTCCTGGAGGGGGTCCTGGAAGGGTCCCGGAGGGGTCCGGTCCAGCGAGCGCAGGTGTCGGCCCTGCTGTCCCTCTGCGGGTCTCCCTTGCCGCGGAGCGACTCTGTTTTCCCCGGGGAGCCCCCCCCCCCCCCGCTGTTTGCACGGGCCAAAGGGCGCCACGGCCGGGTAATGAGTCCCTTGTCATGTGACCTCATCCCTCGGCTCGCCCCCCTGATGACCCTCCCCCTGGACCGCCCCTCCTCCGCTCCCTGACCCGCGAGCCGACTGCCTGAAACTTTGCCGGCAGGTCTTTGTAATTACTTTTGCCCTGAAACTTTGTCTCTCAGAAGCGCCATCCTAACCTTTTGGTTTTATTTCACACTCCGCGGTGTGGCGAGGCGGACGCGGCCACTGCTCGCGGCCCGGAGGAGGCAGCCCGAGGCCGGCTCCCCGACGAGGTCTGTTGAACAACCCCGATCTCAGCCGCGGCAGAGCCGAGATCCGTCCTACTAACCGTCGTGTCGCACCTAGGAACCATGTGGGAGAGAAGGGAAAGGGCCAGACGCAGCAGGAACAGCAGTCACTGCCAGCTCCACTTTGCAGTGTGGGGCACGACGGAGTGCACCTGTACAACGCGTGCGGCGTCCCCCTCCCCCCACTCCTCCCCTATCCCCCTCTCCTCCTCCACTTCCGGCGACCGTCCGGCCGCGCTCCGCCCTGCCCACACGAGTGGCAGTGTCTCAGCCCTCTCGGCCGCGCGTGTGTGGGCCTTAAGACTCTTGGTGCCTCCAGACCGTAAACGCTAGTTGGCGTGTCTTCCGGACTGTCGAGGGCACACACAGGGCACGGCCGGCCCGCCCCTCCCCGCCCCTCCCCGTCGGCTGGGGGGTTAGGTCTACGGTGCCCCATCACCCCGTCCAAGAGCCACTTCGGCCCCCGCCGCCCGTCTCGCAGTGCAGCTTTACTCGTCTCCGGGGGCCGCTCGGCTCGGCTGGCGCCCTGCTCGGTTGGTGCCCTGCTGCTCGGCTAGAGCCTTTGCTCGGCTGACACCCTTCCCCCGCCGCGACCTCAACCGCAGAGGCAGTATCCAGCCTCCCCGTGACTGGACCCCAACGTATGGCCTGCCTCCCCCAAGTCTCTCCGGGGAGGCAGAGCGGGTCCAGAGACTGTCGGAGGAAAAAAAGTCCTAGCGGGAATATTATCCAATGTGTCTACCTCTCTGGCGTCGACAAGGATCCCGTTCTCGCTCCTGGCTGAGGGCTTCGGATTGTCGCTGCCCAGCGGCTCCTTCTACCCCTTGGCCCTCCCCGCCTCCCGCTCATGCAAAAGTCATCAGCTCGCCCGCCCGCCCCGCCCTGCCGGTCTAACGGGCGCTGCTCCGCCTGCTCTCATATGCATGCTGACACAGCTTGACGTGCAGATCAGCCCCACTGCACTGCCGTGCTGCAGTCGCCGCGCTCTCCTCTCTGCTTCTTATTATTCCTTTGCCCACCCCGCCCCACGCCCTGGCACCATGCTGACATGCTGGCACTATACAACCGGGACCTCGGGGGAAAGGAGAGGGGCTGCTGGCGGCTGGCGGTTCGGCCGGCCGTGGTACTGGACGAGTAAATTGGAGTCGTCATGGGCGTAAACAGGATGAACAGCTGAGAGACAGGGCGAGTTAGATTGTGTGAAATATGCGCTTGTTGCTCGTGTCTGACCAACACCAACAAGTGTCGGTAAGTAAGTTTGGTTGGGTTTGAGAGAATAAGTAGAGAGGCACCGAAACCGACTGAGTGGATATCCTAAGCGTGATCCCAACAATGATCGCGTCCCTTGCGACTGTAAGTAGTAGCAGTGGCCCTCGAGTTGGTGAAGAGGGTTCCCTAAGGGTAAGGGCAGTGGCTCCTTCCCTTCGCCCTTTCGTACACACCGTGAATAAGGTTTTAACTTTTGTTTTTTAAAACTCATTCTTCTGGGAAAGAATACGTACTCTAACGAGAATTTTGTGATACGTCATGTTTTATTTTTTTTACCGTACTTTTGATTGATGATCGTGAGTATCATATTTCTACAAGAAGGCAGTTCAGTGATGTCAGAAATCTGTTTGAAGTAATTTTCTAATTCCGATTCCAGTTCCGTAACTAGTTGATACACTAACTAGTAAACACATTTATAAACAAGGGAGACGCGTAGAACACAAAATAAATTTTGTGCTAAGGAATATACCCGTTCTTTTACTTAACTTATCGCCCTCCCTCTATCCTTTGGTGGGATCATCTAGAAACTGCGTCCGCATCTGCGTAGTTACGAAATTGCAAAGTTCAGCCAATGCAAGGGCTCATGACGCCTGATAGGTAGGCAACATCTTGCCTGTAGTGCATGCGTGTACTGTGGGTTGGCCTACCCCGCGTCTCGCAGGCACCAAGCTCTCCTCTCGTAATTTGCTGAATGATCGGAAGAACCCGAGGAACCGGTGTACTTTTTTGACGATTCCTAAGAAGAACTAGTAGTGTTCTCAGAGCAGTGTTAAACAATTTTCGATGTTAGCGTCGCCGAACTTACACGGGTAAACGCCAGAGGTTTACACGCCAGGCGGAGGGCTCTAATCAGTCTATGACTGACGTCAAGCGTTCATGCTGTTCAGGAACATGTCTGCCATCTCTGTATGTTGTAGACTTTGAAAAGACAAGATGTCTCTAAATTAGACTCCACTGCCGACAATACTCGTTCCCCGGAAAGGGCAATAAGCAGATATGGTGTTGAACGAAAACGAGTAAAAAGGCAAATTTTCAGCAGTGTAGATTCGTTTCCTCTTCAGTCCCGTCTTTGATTGATTTGACTTGATCTCCCCGCGCAGTACAAAGTGCGGCCACTTTCCGCTCGCGCCTCCGCCGCTGCCGCAGCCGGAGCAGCGGGCCACCCTGGCTGCCTCGGTCGGGTGCTTGATTGATTCCAAGTAGCCATCCACCGGGGCGGGGGAGGCGGAGTGAACCGGGAGGGGGCTGAGCTGAGCTGCCGTGGCTGGCGGGGCGCGCCTTGCGGGTCCCGGACTCCCGCCCTCCTCCTCCTCGCCGCACCTCGCCCCGCACCCCCAGCCAAGTCCACTTAGCGGTGGTTAACTGTTTCGCCCGACAAGCGATCCGCCCGGATCTCCCGCCCGCCTCCGCCCTGGCTTGTGGCATCGGAGCGGGGAGCCGTGGCTGGCGTGGGTCGATTCTGCTGGTCCCCAAGACACCCGATACGTCCCCCGAAGCCGGCGGCGGGGGCGAGGCTCCCCAGCGCCCCGTGTCGGCCCCGTCACTGTCACCCTCGTCACTCTCCCTCGGCATCCCGGTCCAAGAAATTAAAAAGAAGGGGCCCCCATCTTGGCGCCCCGGCTTCGCCCCGGCCGGCAGCCTCCCCCTTCCACCTATTAGCGAGGCGCCTTCGGCCGGGCCCGACCGGTCCGCCCTCGGCCGCGAAAGAAACAATATGCACAATGCGTCCTTTGTGCTGCTCGGCGATGAGGCGGGCCGGAGGTAGGGAGACCCTCCCCCTCTCAGCGGGAGCCCGGCCAGCAGAGCCCGGCGAGAGCCCGGCGGGGAATGGTTTTGTTTCTTGCTGTGGCTGACGTTGTTGTTGCAATTGGACCGAGTTTAGCAAAAACGCTCGCCCCCTCTCAGTAGAATATTCAGCCCTGCAAGAGAGTGTCTTTTGTCTGGCTTGGCCGCTTCAGGATTCCGAGCGCGTACCCAACTATTCCTGATTGACCCTCTAAAGTTGGCCCCGACTACTCTCGCGGCCTTTCGTGTTCCGTTCCGATCTCCTTTTTTACCTCACCCCTTCGCGTCCTCTTTTTGTTCGTCACGGCGCGCTCTCTTTGAATTCACTTGGTCCCCGGCGCACGCTGGGGAAACTGAAAAGTTTGTTGCCAGCAAGAAGTGAAGCGCCGGCGATGGTGCGAGGAATACTGTGCTTGGCATTCTCCGCCCTCCTCTCCCCCAATCCTTCCCGGCAAAATGTAAGCCTGCTGCCGTGCGACGACCACCACG